AAGCTTCTAAGAGTAATTAAATGCACTGCTAGCATACTTAAAAACAATATTAAGTGACAGTGATGACATTTTACTTGAAGTGTTAAAGCAGTAGTTGTGTGTTGGTAAAACTTGAGTTCTCCCTCAAGTATGAGAGTTTCTGGGAAACTGTCACAGGACAGAGTTGCTATGACAGCAAAGGAGGTTAAGGTTAGGTAAGGTTTAACAGGACAAGTGGTTCTTTACGTGGGTCTTATTCATGTGATGACCCGTAGCTGGAGCTTTTGGTCATTTGACCGAGACCTTCCGCTGGCTTACCCCTTCACCCCTTAAAAAATATTGGTTATAATTATAACCATTGTGTCAGTAAATGATAGTCACATACCGACCTTAGTTTGTTTACACTCTCCCCCTGATAAATGAAATAGGGATACCTGTGTAAACAGATTTAGATGCAAACAAAAAGCGCACTACAAGGTAGTTAACACTGCAAATGATATAGTCGAAGTTTTGGCTGCGAACACTGAGTATGAGGTATATAAAGACTTATGAGCGCCAACCTGAACATGTAAGCTATAATCATATAGCCAACAGAGATCTTTTAGTGCCAAGCAGTGGAGAAGAATAGCGAGAAATATTAAACATGTCTCGATATTTAAGAGCAGTGTTGGACTGAAATCAAAGCCAGTGACGGGCTTATCAGAGCCACAGATATTAAGCCCAACCAACAAGTCTCCAGCACAACAACTTTGTGTTTTGCAAACATACAAAGTCTCAAGCCAAGGATAAACAAAACACTACTGATCAGAGATTTGCTTATGGAATCCAGTGTATTATTTGTAGCTTTTACTGAGATTCAGATAAACAAAGATTTAATAATTAAATATAGACTCCTGGGTAAACCTGAGGCTGCAGATTTTCTCAAGAGCAAAATAAAACACTAATCATATTAAAAAACTGAGCGAAACTTAAATGCATCAGATTCAAAGAGAGAGAAACAGGGAGCAAAGATCTATAACTGAAACTAAAAGAAACTTAGTAAAATACTGAAGTCCCGGTATAATTCTTGTGTTCAAGACACGGGGGCAGTGACCCCCCTAAACAAATCTTCAGGTCACCCTCAGGTAACTCTCCCACACACACCTGGATGGACCCCTTACGCTTACACCTGGATAAATCCCCTCCATGAACACCTGGATGAAACTCCTACATAAACACCTGGATGAAACTGGATGCATGCCTGCCACTACCTTCCAGAGTCCTACTCTGGAGGACTGACGTGCTTTCTGACTGACCAGTACAAAGATGGTGAAGAAGGAGGAAGGAGAGAGTGAAGGTTGCTAGCAGTGTTGATGAGAGAAGAAAAAACATCGTGAAGGTGGTCGATCAAAGTTAAGAAACATAGCAAGGAATTATCACCTAAGTATAATTAGGTGATTACAACTAGGTGAGCATATCTAGGTGAGCACAACTAGGCGAGTACACAGATATGAGAAGATTGGTGACTCGGTGGGGGAGGAGGGGAGAGGGGCGACTAATGGGAAGGGGGGTGGTGAGAGAGGCGTAGAGAAGTGGGTGGATTGGTGTGCGGGGGAGGACACTACGATGTTGCACTATCATAAAGGCGAGCAAGAAGCACCTGACATCTCAGTAGTAGCGCATGATATTGCTGGCAGGGTCAGCCAAGTGCATCACTCATACACGTCTCACTACACTCTCCTCCCTAACTCCCTTATATGTGTATGTGTGTGTGTGTGTGTGTACTCACCTATTGGTTGCAGGGGTCGTGTCTAGTCTGGCCCGCTCTTCCGGTTGTACTGGCCTTCTCTCCCGCTCTGAGCTTTATAACGTCGTCTTAATGTGTATGGTTCCTGCTCCACTACGTCATTTTCTAGGCTATTCATGCTTAATTATGATGAAGATATTCCTATATCTCTGACTTTTGTGTCTTCAACTTCATTGTGGCTTTGTTTCTGTGTCCTCTGGACATCTGTCTTTGTCACCTTGTCTTTCACGCAGTTTTATATGTCGTTTCATGTTCCTGACCTCCTGTCCTCCAGTGTCGTGGCGATGTGTGTGTGTGTGTGTGTGTGTGTGTGTGTGTGTGTGTGTTGTGTGTGTGTGGTTGTGTGCGTTGTGTCGTGTGTGTGTGTGTGTGTGTGTGTGTGTGTGTGTGTGTGTGTGTGTGTGTGTGTGTGTGTGTGTGTGTGTGTGTGTGTGTGTGTTGTTCCAGTAGGGAAACTGTCTCTCTCCCCTCCTTTTCTGCCTGACCATGAACAAGGTCACAGAGGATCTGATCAGCAAGCTCTCAAAATCTAGTTCCTGGATGACAACACTCAAGTGGGCACCACAGAATTCCTTCTTTAAGACTGATCAGAATCATCATACAGCAAGGAGAGAATATAGGCTCTCCCTAAAACCTTCGAAATGAGATCTGATGTTCTCCAACGAACACACCATCGAACAAGCCACAACTGCCTTGCAAGAAGTCAAGGACGTTTATCCCTCTGATTGCACTCTCCTTGGTGCCCATTTGGAACTAATGCTATCAGTGAAAATTTGAAATTCAAGCGGATGGAGACCAGGATCAGTGATACTTATGTTCATGATGTCTTTATCGTCTCACCAAGTCCCTATCCCTCCCTAAAATCACTAATTTTAATTATCCTCTTTGTTAGCACTAAACTGAGAAAATACGATTTCACCTTAAGAGACACAGCACAGACAACACAATTTTCTTCAAATATCTGTTAAGTTATACCATAAATCAAGGAAAGATCCTGGACTTCACCTTACGAAGCAGGCAAAACAAATGCGATAGTAATTATGGATAGGTAGATTATAGTGGAAAAATGAACATGTTATTAGAAGACGAGGGAACTTACGTGCCCCTTAAAGTCTATGCTTAAAAAAATTACCAAACTTTTCCCTGGAGGAATTACAGTATGAACTAGCCACACTTTGTCAGATTAGGTGGACTAGAGATACATAACGCCTCACAGATTGCCCCTGTCAGTCTTCTTATTCTCCTCCAATGGATCCAACAAGCTGAAAGAAACCACGGAACGGGTGGAGTTTGAACCCATGGTGAATCCTAAAACTCCAGGCCAGTGTGTAAACCACTTGGCCAGCTGGCTGATTCCTGAATCCCGCAAACGCAGTGCAAATCGGTGAGTTCACACAAATATAAACACACACATACACTGTTGGCACCCAACACAGTTGGCACCCCACACAGTTGGCACCCCACATACACAAGCAACCGTTATCCAACTTTACTAGTGCCACACCTCCATCTCGCTAACTCTTCTCCTCCCAGATACATACCAGCTAAACTTGCCTCTCCTGCAGTCTGGATCCAGACCACCGTAACATCTTGCCCTACCCTCCCTCCATCAACACACCACCACCACCACCACACACTCGCTGGCGGGGTGTGTGGGGAAAGAGGGCGGGAGAGGTTGATAAGGGATAGAAAGATAACTCCAGAACAGTAATATACCAAGCAGCACTTGATTAAAGATAACTCAAGTATAGTATTATAATAAGTGGCACCTGATGAAAGGTAACTCTAGCAGAGAAATGTTATAAGTTATGTGTAAGTGCAGTAGCTTCTGGAAGTACTCAGGTGCTGGGTAAATAGGCGTTCTGTGTACCTAATAACACAACAAATCTTAGCAAGCGGAGTGTCGTTTACTTTTATTACAAAGGTTAAGAAAATAACTTGACACAAGTCATTAACAAATTATGGCCAGTTTGATGGTTGGTGCGCGGCCTATGACAGTAGTGGCGGCAAGATGAAGTATCACCATCACCAGAAGCACCAACAGCACCAGCAGCACCAACAGCACCAACAGCACCAGAAGCACCAACAGCACCAACAGCACCACCAACAGCACCAGAAGCACCAGAAGCTCCAATAGCACCAGCAGCACCAGAAGCACCAGCAGCACCAACAGCACCAGCAGCACCAACAGCACCAACAGCACCAGCAGCACCAGCAGCACCAGAAGCACCAACAGCACCAACAGCACCAGAAGCACCAGCAGCACCAACAGCACCAGCAGCACCAGCAGCACAACACAAGCAACCAAAACCCCGCCACCAGAAGCACCCAGCCCCGGGCCCCGACAGCCAGCAGCACCAGCAGCACCAACAGCCCCCCCGGCAAACACCAACAGCACCAGCAGCACCAACAGCACCAGCATGCACCACAGCACACAGAGCACCAAAGCTACCAACAGCACCAGCAGCACAAGAAGCACCAGCAGCACCAACAGCACCAGCAGCACCAGCAGCACCAGCAGCACCAACAGCACCAACAGCACCAGCAGCACCAACAGCACCAGCAGCACCAACAGCACCAGCAGCACCAGCAGCACCAGAAGCACCAACAGCACCAGCAGCACCAGCAGAATCATGTTACAAGGACAGCATGGAGAACACTAGTAGTATCAGATAACTAGTGCATGATACAAGGACTACTAATGCATGATAAAAAGTGTAGAACACTAGTAGTATCAGATAACTAGTGCATGATACAAGGATGACTAATGCTGATACAGAAGTGAGAACACAGTAGTATCGTAGAAACTAGTGCATGATACAAGGACACTAATGCAATGATACAAAGTGTAGAACACTAGTAGTATCAGATAACTAGTGCATGATACAAGGACTACTAATGCATGATACAAAGTGTAGAACACTAGTAGTATCAGATAACTAGTGCATGATACAGGACACACTAATGCATGATAAACAAGTGAGATCACACTAGTAAGTAATCAGATAACTAGTGCATGAGTACAAGGACTACTAATGCATGATAAAAAGTGTAGAACACTAGTAGTATCAGATAACTAGTGCATGATACAAGGACTACTAATGCATGATAAAAAGTGTAGAACACTAGTAGTATCAGATAACTAGTGCATGATACAAGGACTACTAATGCATCATAGTAAAGAACACCAGTAGTATCAGACAACTAGTGCATGATTCAAGGACATATGACTGACCTGCCTGACAAAGTGCTCGAGTTTTGAGAAAGGCCAGAGTCAGCCTCATGACAGAGGCCTTGTCGAGCTGTGCCACAGTCTGTGGTGGGAGGGGCAGAGCACTGGCCAGCTCGCTGAAGATCTCGCTCTCCTTCCCTCGACGACATCTCGCAGCATCCCGAGATTTCTCTTTCCGCTTCTCACTGTTCCTGAAAAACAAAAATTCATTTTACAACAATATTACCAAACTATCCATATTTCTCCTGGCAAAATACCACCACAAATTATTACGTCAACTGCCCACTAACTACAGTATTAAAACAAGAATAACGGCCACTAATAACTGGATCCGTCCTTGTACATTAACATATATGCTGGGATAATTATCCTAATTCAACAGTAACCTCTTATACGTGTACAGGTTACTAGTTACACTGGTACCAAAGCCACATAGATTTAACATATGTCTTGAAAGGATAAGCTCAGTGGTATTAGGTGTGTGTTCCAGAATAATACCATTAAGATAGAGGACGCAAATTAGACTGGCCTGACGCTCCCACCACTGCCGGAGACGAAGAATCACAGAACCTTCATGTCCCAGGATTTTTTAAGAAGGGAAAATAAATGCTGGTGTAGGAAACAACAACACTGAGCAAAAGCTTGACAATTATACAAATCACAGGAGACAATCACAGGCAAATACATCATCTAGTACATGGTACTTTCTCACGAATGTAATAGAATCACAATATCTTCCTGGAGAATTCGTATCTACCGACCTACTACTACCGCTGTAGACCCAGAGTCCGAACGTCACACATCAAAATCTTTAAAAGAATGCTGAACCTTGCATAGTCCATAGCGACGTAGGTTTAGAGCAGGTCACTGCTGACTCTTACAATGATTTTTCAGCAGCAATTCCGTCGAGAAGTCATCAAAAGTAGAGAGTACGAGAATAGGTTAGGTTAGGTAAGATTTGTCAGGAAACACGACAAGTGTTTCCTGACGCGAGGTCTTAGTCATATGAGCTGACCGAGGCCTTCCACTGGCTTACCCCTCCGCTCCTTTAAAAATTAAGGTTATAATTATAACTACTAGTCGATGTTACGAGGATAGTATGAGGCATAACTTGTAACATCCTAAACTGTTGTCAGCTAGCATGGGTTAACAAGATGTCCTAACCACTCTACACACCAGGAGACAACACAACAAATACAATGGATGTCCCACTCTTCAACATCCCCGTCTAATATACAAGACAATTGACAAGAACTCCAGTGTCAAGGGATAACATGACAATTTCAAACAGGCAGCTACTGACCAGCCGGGGTATGGTGCTTACAGTGGACTAGGTGCAACGAGAATCTAAGCCTGGTTGACCAAGCCATCAGCCAGAGCCGAGGGGGTGATGATCACTGGAACCATGAAGAGGTTATATTCTGGGGAACAAGTGTTTGAAGTACCTGCGTCTGTGTAGCTGGAACCAGCTGACTGGATATCTGAAGGTAGGACACGGTATGCCTAGGGTGGGCCTGGGTGACACGTCTAGGGAAAGACTGGGTGACGTGCCCAGGGTGGACCTGGGTGACGTGCCCAGGGTGGACCTGGGTGGCGTGTACAGGGTGGACCTGGGTGGCGTGTACAGGGTGGACCTGGGTGGCGTGTACAGGTTACACTGACCTTCCAATAAGACATCTTGAGTGAAAGTGTTGATCATGTCTACACAAAAATCACACACTAAGAATCTTATTTCCGCTTCTTTCCACAACATCTTTAAGAAGCTGAGTGATCTTTCCACGGTGTTTTACAGTAAGGACCTTTTTTAATCCCTCTAAAATACAATTCCTTCTTGACAAGCAGAAATTACTTCTTCCTGCACCTTGGTTCCTGCACGGGGCTGAGTCGAAATATAAAGCACACTTTTATATTCTCTTTCATTTTCTCCACGTGGGTTTGTCTGTGTTGTTGTCTTACAAATCCACTGACATAAGGCACTACTAACACATCTGAGGTGTTGCTACACACTATTTACTAAACTACTAATGTACTAAATGTTGCAAACATCTTAATCTTCTCGAAATACTACGCGACGGTCTGGAGTTTTGAGACTCTCTGACCGCGGGTTCTATCCCCACCCGTGCTATGGTTTGTTTGCAATCGTGTCATTACGATTTCGTGAGTCAGTTACTACAGTTTTCTTCACAAACACCGTGACATTTTTTTCATTACTAAATGGTAACAAAGTGGTGACCGAAATTTTGAGTAAGAACCGTGTATTTGTTTGTAATATTTGTAATAACCCCAATTTTTTTTTCAATAATATACAGGCAAATGTACTGATGTCTGGTCTCATACAGCCCAGTACCGAGGTCTCGTGTACGTTCATACAGTGCCAGCACCCTGCGCAGTTACACTAGTGCCAGCACCCTGCGCAGTTACACTAGTGCCAGCACCCTGCGCAGTTACACTAGTGCCAGCACCCTGCGCAGTTACACTAGTGCCAGCACCCTGCGCAGTTACACTAGTGCCAGCACCCTGCGCAGTTACACTAGTGCCAGCACCCTGCCAGTTACACAGTGCCAGCACCCTGCGCAGTTACACTAGTGACCATGCACCATTGCGCAAGTTACACTAGTGCAGCCTGCGGCAGTTACACTAGTGCCAGACAGCGCAGTTATTACCGACTAGTGCCAGCACCATGCGCAGTACACTAGTGCCAGCACCCTGCGCAGTTACAATTCGTGCCACGTCACCCTGGCGTGTACACCAGTGGCAGCACCCTGCGCATTTACATAGTGCCAGCACCTGACGCAGGTTACACAGTGCCAGGCACTGCGCAGTTACACATCAGTGCGCAGCATCCTGCACAGTAACTATTAGTTCAAGACACACTGCGCAGTTGTGATAACACCATGTGCAGACCCTGGAGTTATCTAGTGAGCATCTGTCGCATGTTACTATTGGTGCAGTGCACCTTATGCAACAGTTACTGACAGTGGCTACACGAGTGGATCATCGACTTTGGTGCCAAAATCATACGACTCTAGGTGAGTGGTGTGGCTGACAGGTGTGAGAAGGCAGGTGTGGAATTACTCGGCCTAACTGTGATATTCTTATCGCAGATAAGACTAGGCCTATGACAGTCGCCGTGGGCAAAAATTCCGGTGATCCACGTCTCTGGGTGGCGCCTCCACGATGGCGACTGGCATGAGTCAACGCATGGTGTGGTACAGTCAGGATGTAAGGACGTGTATACACATCAGATGGCAATCTCAACAGTAACTTATTTTTGTATTAATGGTACACAACAGCGACAAGTTGATGACTAACACACATGTGCAACCCGTGGATGTCTTTAGTGTGGATATCTTTATTGTGGACATATTTGGGTAAGCAGTGACTTTATCAATACAATACTGACATGATGCGGTGCAAGAAGAGAAGAGGTAGTCTGAACTGTTCAGTCCCTCAGCCTTGATAGGAGGTGTTCAGTCCTTCAGTCTTGATAGAAGGGGTTCAGTCCCTCAGCCTTGATAGGTGGTGTTCAGTCCTTCAGTCTTGATAGAAGGGGTTCAGTCCCTCAGCCTTGATAGGAGGTGTTCAGTCCTTCAGTCTTGATAAAGGGGTTCAGTCCCTCAGCCTTGATAGGTGGTTTTCAGTCCCTCAGTCTTCACAGATATAAAGCAGATGGACGGGTTATTGAGGTCGTGGTGTTAAGATGTAGTGGTTACTGAAAAGGGCTGCGAGCTTCTGCCAGCAGTAGTACACCATCTGCAGCAGCTGTATGAACGCCTGGCTCCAGTCTACCCTGAAGAACACACGGTACCCACCCACACCCATCTTAACACTTGCACCAAGATCAGAATTCAATTTTTTTTTTCAAATCACTTAAGTAAGAACACAGTCTTCATCTGTGTCAAGCTTGTGTTGAATAGTGAGAAGTGCGAGACGAGTCGAACCTGGAAGTGCCTGATCAGGCAGGTTGTGATGTAGGCCTGCCAGCCGCTGGGAGCAAGTCTGGTTTACCAGGCAGCTAACAAGCCTGGCCTCAGGCTAGTGTGTGTGACAGGTAGAACTCTTGAAAATTGTCTCAGGAAAGTCACAAGTAATCCATGAAGACAATAATGCTGAGTACTGGTGTCGAGGGTAAGGCAGGAGAGTGTTACAGTGATGGCAGACGTAAAGCATCACAGTCGTCACTAGCTGCCCTCAATTTTATCTTAACTTGCAGGCTTACACCAGCGGCTGCCCTCCCCTCACATAGAGAGGTATCACAGAGTGCCACAGTGTACCATTGTAGGTGTAGATCCGTACTGGCACCACCAGTGCCTAGTGACATGCAGGGAGTGTGTGGAGGGCGAAGTTGAGGGAGAAGGGGGGGGGGTGTTATGGCTGGCATGAGGCACATGACAAAGATCACTGACAAAGGTGTTTTTCATCAGTAACTTCCTTACCTCACCATTCTCGTTATCCCTCACCCTCCTACCTTATTATACCTGTAACCAGTTCAGAGACTTCTCTCGCATCATCCAGGTATTAGACCAATTCCACCTGTTAACCACCTAATTAACCAGTCTGTTGCTGCCAATGGCCTGCATAACTATCACAACCTGGCTAATCAGGCGTTTGTTGCAGGAATTGGTCCAGTTTCCCAATGAAACCCCGTTTTCTGCCTTGGTTCCAGTAATATTTCTTACATTTGTAGGTTTCAGGTTGAAGAGTCTAGGAACAGTATATAAAACACAAGAGGAGCACCACAGAACGGAAAGAACATGCAAAAACACCTAAGTATAATAACTCCAGTTGATTAGTCTTTTAAATAAAACAATAAAGCAAATGCTACAAAGGCCAGGCCAATGACAAGCTGGATAATGATATATTTTAAAGCGAGAAAAATGGCAGTGGTGGCAGTATTGAGTTTACTTGCATTTATTCCTTGAAGTACTGTTCAGTACTGACAGTACCGTTCATAGAAGGTGAGAGAGATCTGCACACTGCCATAACATACTGGTGAGAGAGATCTACACACTGCCATAACATACTGGTGAGAGAGAGCTACACACTGCCATAACATACTGGTGAGAGAGATCTACACACTGCCATAACATACTGGTGAGAGAGATCTACACACTGTCATAACATTACTGGTAGAGAGATCTACACACTGTCATAACATACTGGTGAGAGAGATCTAACACTGTCATAAACA